GATATAAGAAACAATTTTCATGTTTAAGTAAAAAAAAAATTGGGGGGCCGGCGGGTACTGGCGGGCCACACGGGACTCCTTGTGTTTGACACATGTGGTTTATTGGGTTTGTTCTGGTTCCTTTACAGAATCTGGTGCACTGGTGTGACTCCTCTCCATGTAAAAACGGAGGCTCATGCTGGCAGCAGGGAGCCTCTTACACCTGCCAGTGTCAGACTGGGTGGACTGGTCTGTACTGCGACATCCCTAGTGTGTCTTGTGAGGTCGCAGCCAAACAACAAGGTAAATTGGCGTTTATGTTTGACGTGACTGAATCATGATCTGGCACATTCTGTAAGCCTTTTCTTTTGCGTTTGATTGCAGGCGTTGAGGTGTCTCAGTTGTGCAGGAATTCCGGACAGTGTCTAGATGCAGGAAACACACATTACTGTCGCTGCCAAGTCGGCTACACGGGGAGTTACTGCCAGGATCAGGTGGATGAGTGTTCACCCAATCCTTGCCAGAACGGAGCCATCTGCACAGATTACTTAGGAGGTTACAGTTGTGAGGTAAAGAGCATAAAATAAAAATCTAACTATAACTATATCAATATTAAGTTTGCAAATATTGAAAACAAACTAACTGAACAGTCATTTTTTTTTCTGTATCAGTGCGTCCCTGGTTACCACGGTGTGAACTGCTCAAAAGAAATCAATGAATGTCAGTCTCAACCCTGCCAGAATGGAGGCACATGCATCGACCTCATCAACACTTACAAATGCTCCTGCCCCAGGGGAACACAAGGTATGCATCTACGTATCAAATATAATGGAGAAACAGATAAGCGGTGACCAGAACAGACGAGTTATATATGGTCTAACTTGATGTGTCTGTCCCTTATAGGTGTCCACTGTGAGATTAATTTAGATGACTGCAACCCACTTATTGATCCATTCACAAAAGAACCCAAGTGTTTCAACAACGGCAAGTGTGTGGACCGCATCGGAGGCTACCAGTGTGTGTGTCCGCCAGGTTACGTCGGTGAACGCTGCGAGGGGGATGTCAACGAGTGCCTGTCAGATCCCTGTGACCCTAGAGGGTCGTACAACTGCATCCAGCTCACAAATAGCTATCGCTGCGAATGCCGAACCGGATATACAGGTAATGCTGTGTGTCTTGCAGCACATACAGTAAATAAAATTCAGAAGTATAGTTGTCTAAAAGAACACCTGACTCATGCCATATGCTTCTGCTTTACAGGTCAGCGTTGTGACAAGGTGTTTGATGGCTGCAAGGGAAGACCCTGCAGGAACGGAGGGACTTGTGCTGTTGCCAGTAACACGCCCCATGGTTTCATCTGCAAATGTCCTCCTGTGAGTGCAGCTAAACATTATACACCCCTAAACTGTACATTTAGTGTTAATAATGAGTAATACTGTTCTTTGTTTCCTTTAGGGCTTCACCGGCTCCTCTTGCGAGTATGATTCTCGCTCCTGTGGCAGTCTGAATTGCAGGAATGGCGGTACGTGTGTGTCAGGGCACCTGGGCCCGCGCTGTATGTGCCCCTCCACCTTCACAGGTCCCGAGTGTCTGACTCCCACCGACAGCCTCTGCATCTCCAACCCCTGCTACAACGGAGGCACTTGCCAGAACACCCCCGACGCTCCCTTTTTCCAGTGCAGCTGCCCGAGTAACTTCAACGGCCTTCTTTGTCACATACTGGACTACTCCTTTGTCGGGGGATTTGGCCGAGACATCACCCCACCTCCGGAAGTGGAGGTGAGCTGTGAGATCCCGCAGTGTGACGAGTGGGCGGGCAACCACATCTGCGATTCTCTGTGCAACAACCACGCCTGCGGCTGGGACGGAGGAGACTGCTCGCTGAATTTTGATGATCCGTGGCAAAACTGCTCTGCTGCTCTGCAGTGCTGGCGTTACTTCAACAATGGGAAGTGTGATGGTCAATGTAACAGCCCAGGGTGTCTTTATGATGGCTTTGATTGCCAAGGACAGGAAGGACAGTGCAAGTAAGTCACAAAATTTGTTTTGGGGGGTTAGCTAAATAACATTATTTTAGTAAATACTAACACAATTATTTTGTTTTCTTTTTTTATAGCCCTTTGTATGATCAGTACTGTAAAGACCACTATGCCGATGATCACTGCGACCAGGGCTGCAACAATGCGGAATGTGAATGGGATGGCCTTGACTGTGCCAACAATATGCCAGAGAAGCTGGCAGATGGACACTTAGTCCTGGTTGTCCATATTACGCCAGAGCACCTAAAAAACCGGTCCTCAGCCTTCCTCAGAGAGCTGAGCAGCGTCCTCCACACCAACGTCGTGTTCCGCCGGGATGCCAAAGGGGAGCCCATGATCTTTCCTTACTATGGCAATGAACAAGACCTGGTCAAACACAATATGCTGAAGCGCTCTGCCGATGGCTGGCCTGAGTGGACCGCAATGCCAGCCAATGTTTTGGGTACGGTGAAGGAAAGTGTGTCTTCCATGGTTAGTCCAAGGAAACGCAGAGAGCTGGATCCCTTACAAGCCAAAGGGTAGGTAGATGTTATATCAATAAGTCTTTAAATAATGAGACAGAGTTGTGCACATTGCTAATTTTTCTACCCATTTCTGCTCATAGGTCTATTGTATATCTGGAGATTGACAACCGCCAGTGTTACCAGCAGTCCACTGAATGTTTCCAGAGCGCAACAGATGTGGCTGCATTTCTTGGCGCACTGGCCACCAGTGGGAATCTCAATGTCCCCTATATTGAGGCTGTTACAAGTATGTCTGTCTCTATTCATTTTCAGTGCAAAGTTTTATTTAATTTGCAGACATCCAAAAGTGACCTCTGTATTGAAATCTTGTTGTACCTGGTATTTTATTATTATTTTTTACTAAATCTTCAGGCGTGAGACCTACTCCCAAGAATACAGAGCTCTACCCCATGTATGTAGTCTTCTTGGGTCTGGCTGCTTTGGGTTTCCTCTGCCTGGGTGTTCTAGTTTCTCGTAAGCGGCGGCGAGAACATGGCCAGCTCTGGTTTCCTGAGGGATTCAAAGCATCAGAGCCTAGCAAAAAGAAACGCAGAGAGCCACTGGGAGAGGATTCTGTTGGACTCAAGTGAGTAGACTCTAAAGGGAAATGTTAAGTTGCTTTGACACGTTCAGATTTTAAACACTGAACGCCACATTTATGTTAATCACTTTAGGTCTAATCTGCCTTTTATCATTTATTCAACAGACCAATGAAAAACGACATCAATCTTATGGATGACAATCAAAATGAATGGGGTGATGATGATCCAGACTGTAAGCACTTCAGGGTAAGAAAAAATATGTTTTTTTTTGCTTTTTTTTCGTAGTAAATCAGCAATTAAACTATTTTGATAACAGATGCCACACTTACTGACCCTGTAGCCACTTGTTGCTGTTTTTCCAGTTTGAGGAGCAGGCCATGTTGGCTTTGAGAGATCAAGCTGACCAGAGGAAATGGACCCAGCAGCATCTGGATGCAGCTGACCTCAGGATGGCATCTATTGCTCCTACACCTCCTCAAGGAGAGATAGAGAATGACTGCATGGATGTCAATGTCAGAGGACCAGGTGTGTTCACAGACATGACATCAATGCCCCATTTTTATTTATTTATTTATTTTTTTAGTGTAAGCGTTTTGAGCAGGGACTCACAGTCTATGGTGGGCAATTTTTCTATTTGTCTTGTTTCTCAGATGGCTTCACTCCACTGATGATCGCCTCCTGCAGTGGTGGAGGACTAGAGACTGGTAACAGTGAAGAGGAAGAAGATCCATCAGCAGAAATCATCTCGGACTTCATTTACCAAGGCGCCAACCTCCATAACCAGACTGACCGCACGGGTGAGACTGCGCTCCACCTGGCCGCCCGTTACGCTCGCTCTGATGCTGCCAAACGCCTCCTGGAATCCAGTGCCGATGCCAACGTTCAGGACAACATGGGTCGCACGCCGCTTCACGCCGCTGTGGCTGCGGACGCGCAGGGAGTGTTTCAGGTAGCTGCATGCTGACTCGTGTCACTTTTGCATTTGACCAGCAGGCGTGACAGCTCAATATCATTTTATTTTATTTTATTTTTGTAAGAACCCTTCTCCATGAGATTAATACCAGCTTAATCTCATAAAAGTCGTGTTCCACAAGACCTTGCAAGAAATTTAATCAGATATAATGAAACACCCCTCTGGTCATGAATGTGAAAAGAACTTGTGACCTGAACAGATTTCTCAAAAATAAAGTAATTTATTTTTAGATATATGAACAGGATAAACATACAAATATTAATGAAAATATTATATGAACAAAACACAAGTTATAATAACGCACAAAAATTTCACTCAGAGTTGACATAAACAGTAAGTTTCATGTGTTGCAACCT